GGAATGATGTCTAAAAATTAGTCAGAGGTCTTGATAATGCTGATTAATTTAAAAGCTGAATTAAGGAAGACTGTGACACACATCCAAAAAACCCTTAGCAAATATAATGAATGATGCCGATTATCTAAATGGTGCGACGGGTATTCCTTTTTTTTCTGAGTATATCATAGAATTTCATCATGTCCTTAGTATTTACACCTGCATTCAAACGCAACATACAGAAATTCATATTCAACATCACCCATACCTTAAATTACAAAATCTGCTAATAATGCGCAGTATCAACTCTATTAAGGAGTTAGATCTTACACCGTTTATGTAAATGCAGATGTAATCAGAGTGGATTCTAATAATGAGTCAATACAAAGCAGCATTTTATGGTTAATCCCTCTATTCGACTATAATAATGTAAATACTTCTTGTAAGAAATACTGAAGTCTAACATTTGTAAATGTCATCAATTTGTGATACATCCTTTAAGTGATATCCCGATACTGGACATGATAAACACTTTCCTATCTCTTTTAATTTTTTATAACCACATTTTTTAGGTGTTCTCTACTATTTGAAGCTACAATGATATTTGATATACAAAATGAATCATTCCTTCACATCATAAATACTTTTTGAATAAATGCATGGTAAAAGCAATATCAAAAAGTCAATGATTTCTGTTTGAAATGTAGTAATAGATTTAAAAATTCTGAAAGTCCCACCTTTTATAAAAGGTGGCTTCAATTAAATTTCAGGTCTAAAATTTATATATTGTGTATAGAATAAACTACTAGTTACCAGTAATGTTCAACCATTTATATCCTTCTTTGCAAGCATTACATTACACTTATCCTAAGCGTCTTAAAAACTTACAATTGCTAGCAGTGCTATGAATGATTTTGTAACTCTCCTTTCGCTCTTTCCCTGATCATTTACAAGCTCTACGATGAATCAGATTAGGACTAATTACAGATTCTTGTTGGTATCTAAAGTTTGACTCTATTATTATTTTTTGTATTTCTTCATCAACACTACCCGCTTCCATTTCATAATTATTTAATTGTTCATGTGGGAAAACTAAATAGGCAGGATTCTATTAATATTTAATTTTAACTCATTTTATCTTTTTTTTCAGGAGGGATATTCAGATCATGAATCTTTATTGATATCTTTTTTTAATCGTGTCTGGGCTATCTTCTTTACATACTAAAACCTTAGTTCGATTAAACGTTTGCTTAGATGAATTTCTATCTTGATGGGAAGTGAATTAGAAACCTCAAAATCAAATCAAAAATTTTCTTAAAATATCTCTCAAACAAGCTGTGTCACATATGACTCAAACCTTCATAAATAATTGACATTCTTATCTTTTCTTTTCACCTTATCTATTTTTAAATGATGATCAATTCTATTGAACTAGTTAAAGCTTTTCACTCTATTGTTCATCACAACATCACAAAATAATGGAAAGCATTTTATTATTCCAAGATTGGTGAATCTATTTTCTAAGAATGGTGATCAAAAATTAATCCCATCAATTTAGCCAGTCTAAATTACTTTATATAATTGTTGAGATGATATTTAAATATCAACTTTATTAATTCTGCAATTTATCCTGATAAATTCTGATAATTACCAAAAATATTAATTTTGAAAATCTACAAAAATTTCATTTTCTTCTTTGAAAATTGTATCAAGGGGATTGATGTTTATCTTGTTTTTTAAATTATTTCAATAGGTTTTCTCTTACTCCATAATTCTTCTACTACTTATCGAACCAACAGGTCAGTATGTTCTTGTATAAGAGTTGTTCCATCCCTTCTCCTTTATTTAACTTTGTCCCTACATTTAAAACTGTGCAAAAGTAGATGTTGCACTTTAAATAAACATTTGGATAGATAAAGTGCATCAATCAATGCTTGAACAAAGTGCATAAACTTCATAAATGTTTAATAGAACTAAGTTATTAACTGCTTTACATCAAACTATTAATTACAAAACTTGATAAGCATTTAAGATTCTTCATTCAAGAAATTTTCAAACTTCATTAATCCGTTTAACATTGAAATGCTAACCATGGCTCAAGGAATAGGAATGAATTAGCTTGGGGTCTATTAATTTGTTAATTTTGATTAGTTTATTTGAGGAACTTAAGCAAAAGCTATTATTTTTTTGTTGTGTCTACGCATTAGCAGTCTAACATCTGAGTAAGAAGATTCAAGGAGAAATAGATTAATCGAACTTACAAAACAACAAAAGTTCATATTCTCATATTCTGAATGATGACATTCTATCATTTCTACAATTATCACTTAGATAAAATGAGGATAAATGTTATGATGATTTATTATTTTCTAACTAGTTTAATCTTTTCTCTTAAAAAGGTTTTAATCACTCTATGCTAAACCAAACATCATTATAATGCGCCCATCTCAAAAATTAAATAATTTTAATTAATTTTTTTTAAAAAAAAACAGGATTAGAGTGAGAAAGCGGAGCAATTTGATGCTCATGATCTATTTAGAATTTTCTAAATGCACCATAAAATTCTATGATATCCATATTCATAATGCAGATAATATCATAATAACTTTATCACATCTGTATTTTGACTTATTAACAAAATGTAAATTTAAAAGTTGAATTCAAAAATAATGCCCAAAGTTCCATTTTGTTATTATCGAATATACCTCTTGAACCATTTTCCTTGACCAAGTAGATGGCTAGACTATTTTTATCTCTTATCTCTAAATCTCAAGGCAATTTTGATTATATTTCCTTGAAATAGCAAAGTCAGATATGCACTGGCCTTTGTTATTTTGTATTCCCAAGAAATATCGAGGGTCTAGTCATGAGTAATTCCTGCAGAGTGTAGGATCTTGTGTGAGGTACTCATTTAATTAAATCAAACTCAAATCTGTAATAAAAAAAATCCTGAGAGAAAACTTATTAAGTTTGATTAAGATATTCATCAAACGGAATAAAATGAAGGATCTAGGAATAAGAATTTTAACGAGATAATAATATATAATCAAGACTTAGAAGACAGAAAAATAACTAAGAAATCACTTTAATATAGAATCTCTTACATATGTCAACATAATTAAACAAAAAAGGTTGAGGTGAATTTTAAATCAACATATTAGATAGAGATTTAAGAAATAGAAAAGTTTTAACCATTTTTTGTTATATCAAGAGAAAAAAATTATTATTAATTAATAGATTTATATTAACAGAACGTATTAAGAGAATTTCACCCCATAAACTGAATTCAATATTTAAATGGGTATGTACATTTAAAAATTTAAACATAGGTATGTCTTAATAAGATGTAATTTTTTCAACATAAAAGTCATTTATTACAAATAAAAGGATCATATTAATTCTGATTGGTTCAGCAACAATTGATTTCACATGATCATATGCTACAGATAATAAAAATTGAAAAAGAATTGATCCATAATTATTAATTATGACTATTAAATTCAATTATCTAATTTCTTGAATAAAAAATATAATGGTATTATAAAGATTTGTGAGAAATTACTTTTTGAACTTTAATTATTTAATGCAAGCTGACATAAAATAATATGTTAATTCACAACTCATCATTCTTTTCATTCAGAATTTATTGATTATTTTAGGATATTACTTCATTGTAATCTTTTTCTAAACATTCTATGTCGTATAATGCTCGACAAAACTCGCCATCTTCCATATCTTCACGATCATACCAATTATGAAAAGCTCTTCTGCTGCGAAGACTACTAAAGCTCTCTTAATTATTTAAATCTACTCGTAATTGAGGCATCATTAGAAAAAGGATCCAGTTTATTTCATTTATGCAAGTTCAGGCAAAACTTAGTAATTAGATGATGCACATTAAAAAATATGTGTACGTTAGCCAAAACAAAGATCTAAATTGTTTAGAGTGACATCAAATTAACCATAAAAAGAGTTCAATTATTTTTACCTAAATAATAATTCTGTAGATATATGACGAGGATTAAGCAGACTTTGATAAAGTTAACATTCCTTTTTAGTTAGATATTGAATGAATTACGTTTGCTATAATTCTGTTCTAGTGTAATTCATTTATTAAAGTCATTTTGCCATACGATGGAATTAAATGATGCATTCTAGGATAAGGACACAAATTTGAAAAAAACTTGGAATTATCACAATTGTTAAATTTTCTTAATCCAGTATAGGAACTAATTACTTGAGCCACCAAATTATTTAAATGTTAATAATCAACAATTTCTATTTGTAATTGATAATCAATAGCATTGTACATTGACTAATTGTCAAACATTGTG